GGGTCTCCCTTCACGGGCGTTCCCGTCTCCTTGGCAACCGCTGTGCGTTTCGTGTGTCTTACAGAGGAATTTTCCTGGGTATACATTTACACGTGGGCATCAGCAATTCGAGTACTTGTTATTTCTCTGGCAAGTGTTTGTGTGCCATGTGAAACAAATCCACTGTCCTCAACTGGACATAAAAGTAAGTGAAAGAAGTTCCCTTTTCATTTTCCTTGTTAAAAAGAGAAACTCCGGAGCCAGGAACTCAGGTCAGGGACAGCTGGGAAGCAGAGATGCCCTAGGGCCCCGCGGCTTCCCGAGGACACAGCTGCTGCTTCCCGTGGGGTCCGGCTCGCCCTTTCTTTTGGAATGGGTCACCCTCCTTTGCAGAGGCCTGCTCAATGGCATTTATGAGCAACCTATGTTTTCTTCCCAAGGAGTTCTGGAAAAGCGCTGTTGCATTTTGATCTTCGGTGAAGTTGCTTTGATTGTTTTTTATTCTCAGTGTCACCTACACGTGAGTCATTGGCCACGGCTGGCCCCATGCACAGGGCTGGGGTGCAGGAGCCCTTCCCCCGATGGCTGTGCGGCAGGGCGTGGATGCACCTGTTGTTAGCCCTTGTGACTGAGGACGTGGTGAAGGCCAGCAGGTGGTTGGGGTGAGGGACTGGCCTCCTCTCAGATGCCCTTGGGCCCCAGCCCTGGTAATGGCAGAGGCACAGCTTCCCCTCGAGAGGTGGCCACCATCCGGGCTCAGAAAAGCGTTCTCTTGAAGATCTGATGAAGTGGTTTGGTGAGATTGTGCCTAAACGTTGACTCCCACAGCAGGGAACGTGGCAGATGCTGCAGGAACAGGCCAGGTGGGAGCTGGTGGGGCTGGGGTGCGTGTCCACCGGTCTCCACATGGCCTTGCCTCTCCGGCTCTCAGTAATTTGGGGCTATGGGACAGGGGCTCCCCTAGTTCCTCTCACTCACTGTCCATGACCAGGATGCTGGGCTGGCTCTTCCCCCCGGTTCTTAAATTCTTTTCTATTAAAAAACTGCTTTACACTTTTATTAATATAAGCAGATCATCTGTACTGTGAGAATATACTGTAATTTAGATGATCATGAAGCAGCTGCGCACTCAGCTATCACCTGTCCTCCTGGCCCTGGTCAGCAGCCCGTGAGTCCCTTGTGCCCAGGCAGCCACCGCCCCCACCACGCTGTCCTCGCCTCCTCGCTCCGTCTGTAGATTGATGAGCCCTTATCCACCTGCAGAGAAATGAAGACACTCAGGCTCTTGCGCTGTGGGCCTCTGTGGCTCTCACCTGCAGCCCTGAATGCAGGAGGCGCTTGGGAGCGTGGGCCAGGGCAGCGTGCCTGACTATGGACACCTGAGCATGCGTGTGTGCGCATGTCCAAGTGTGCAATCTGTGCCTGCAGGGCAGGGCTGTAAGGGCAGCAGAACGGCTGCGGGAGACCACTAGCGGCTGCAGAAGCGGTGAGACCATGAGACGACACCAGCGCCCAAGGAGAAACACATCCAGATTGCCCGGGGGCCAGGAGGTCCCCCAGCCTCCCCTCCTTGCCCGCCTGCAGGCTCACCCGCAACAGTTGGTGTGGAAAGAGCATTAAAGCCTGAAAAAGCCACTGAGGGCTCCAGGATGCTCCCTTACCCGTCTGCCCGCATCACTAGAGAGCCTGCCCTGTGCCTGCTCCCACCACACCCCTAAACGTAAATTAGATGGGATCTAAGTTTTTGACTTTGAGGACATTGCAGTTTGCAATTGCAGTGTATGTTTCTGCAGTTTGCTGCTTTGCTTAACTTTTTTGTGAACACGCATGTGATTTTGGGTGGTAAGGTTTGCTCTTCTCCGTTGCTGCCTAGCGCTGGATTCTGTGAGGGGGCTGCAACCTGTCTCTGTAGTCTGCCTCTGACCGGCGTGGGGGCTTCGCTTCCGGCTGTTCTGACAGTGTCGTGCTGCGCGTCCTGCGCGTGTGCCGTGGCGCCCGTGTGTGTACGCTGCGAGCAGCCTCGGTTTTCTTGGCTCACCCAGGCTGTGTCCTTCTGGTTTGGCCCAAGGCTGGGCACACGTGTTCTCCACAGCTGTGATCGAGCTTGGATTTGTATTTGATCTTAATACTTAATGACACCTGCTATTCCCCAGGCCTCAGCTTTATTCCCAGGAGGGAGATCCATTATTACTCTGGCTTTCAATTGAGGCTGCAGGCCACGGTGTATTTCTGTGCTTCCCCAGAAGCTTCTGGAACAATCTGACACTGTCCCTGATGCTCTGCATTACCGCAAAAGCAAAGGCAAGTGTGCGCTGAGGCAGCGCTGCCACCTGAACGTCCACGTGGCTCTTTCCAGGAAGAGTTGTGCCGGGGGCACGAAGCTGAGAGTGGTTTTGTTTGTTGTGGTCAGAAATGTCATTTCTGCTCTTGGGGGCCATGTTCAGCAGGCCATGTGTGGCTGCAGTGCTGGAAGAAGGTGGCAGGACACGAAGACACAGTGTTTGTCTTGTTGGATTTTAACGAGCCCGTGCTTGGTGTTGGTGTGTGGCTGGTGGCCGCCCTACTGCACAGCACAGGTCTGAAAGGAGCTGCGTCGTCTGAGGCCTCCGTCTTGGTCTCTGTCCCATCCTGTCCCGTTGCTCCCTGTGGCAGCCACACCTAGATGAGCAGGGAACCCCCTGAGGAGAGCGGCTTTCTCAAGCAAGTAAGAACCACGCTCTTAACACCCCAGCTTGGGCATTGGGACAGACACTTTTAGAGTGGGTGAAACAGGTGTGTGCTTCCTCTGACACGTGGCACACACGCCTGCAGCCTGGCTCACTGCTGTGATGAAGCAGAGCTCACAGATTCACGGGCCTGGCCGGACCTGGCGTCCGACGCTCAGCGTCCCCACCCGTGCAGCTGTGGCCTCTTCATGCACATGTCCTGGGGCTGCCCAAAGCCTGGTTTCCTCCTCCAAGCCCGGAGGCGGTGGGTGAGCACCCGATGTGGGGAATAACAACACCTGGTTGCTGCATACCTTGGTTTCTTGAGAATCTCAAGTTGTGTTGGTTGCAGATTCCGTGCTGAGTTCATGGTATCCTTGCCTGAAGACTGCTGCTAGTGCCCAGTCTTCACCCTTCTGCCTTCTCTTGACCCAGTGTAATCTTACTGTCCATCAGTAGGTACCATAGTGGTGTGTTTTTGAGTGGAGGTAATTGCTTTTCTCTCTTGCAATTTTAATTAGAAATTATCTCTATGCTGACCTCACCTTTATTTCCAGTCTCTTCCTCGCCGACTGCAGGAAAGTACATTCACCCGCTCAGGCCTGGTTCAGGACACGGCACTGCCCCTTAGCACATGGGCTCTCCGTGGGGGGCGGCATATTCCTACAAGACCCTCATGCAGTCAGTGATGGGGAAGCGTGTGTCCTACCACCTAAAGTCAGAGGAACTTGCTGGAGTTCACAGTGTTGTTGTTTTAGTTATTTTATTTTATTTATTTATTGTGTAGAAGAACTGGGGTGCAGGCCAGAGGTGTGGGGATGAGAGGATTCACCAGAGACAGAGTGGGGAGCAGAACAGGTGGATCTACTGAAATACACTGCTGAGGGGAGCAGCGGGGAGACAGGAGAGGTCTGCTGCGCCGTGTGGGTTTCTCCTTGGCCAGGGATGGAGCTCAGGCTACAGCAGTGATAGTGCTGGACCCAACCCAACCCCTAGGCCAGCGGGAGGCCCAGTTCACGGTGTTGCACAGTACCCCACCCCTGTGGCCTCCCGTTCTGAAGTGTGTGACCACCCCGGGCCCCTTTCCCTGGGCATGATTATGCCAAGCTCCCATGGACAGAGCCTGGAGGGCACAGCCACCAATTTCCGTGGCCACTCAGACTTTTCTAGAATGTCTGCTGCTTCGCATTGAACCCAGGTGTCCCCTTCGTGGTGGGCCCGGCCGGGTGCCTGGATCTCCCTCCCTGCAGATTCTCATGGGCTGTTGTTTCCTTTCTTGTAGATTAGAGACCTCTGGGGAAAACGAAGTTAATTCTCCATGAGACATTTTGACTCCCCGCTATCAGTCCTTACCCTTTTCTTCACTGTATCGGTCATCATTTTTTAAATGCCAACTTCTTTTTGAATCGTAACCAGCCTGTCCAGTGCCTCATGGCCATCCTTCCATTTAAAACCCTCAGCACTGTCACATCTGCTTCCAGCATCCAGCAGAGTAGTTGCTGCCACAGTAGAGCTGGGACTTGGTTGCTGTGTGGGGCAGGGCTCGGAGGTGCTGACTCAGGGAGGCTGAAGTCGAGAGTGTTTCTCTGAATGGCTGGTCCATTCCAGGCAATATGCCACCGTGGTTTTTTATGGTCAGAATTCGTAGTGGGTGCTGGGACTGTGGTCAGGCACCTGCCATATCCCAGGCAGTGAGCAGGGGCCTCCTGCAGGCCCCAGCTGGCCTTCCCGGTGCTACTGCACTTAAATGTCTGGGCTGATGGGCTATGGAGCAAACCCCATGAGTGTCACTTGGTGCCGGTCATTGCTGCAGTGAGTGGTTGGTCTGTGAATACTTGTTGAAGTCTTCATGTTTTTAATCATTCAACCTGGCAAAGTCGGAGCTATTACTCCCGGTTTCTGGGAGAGAAATCAGACTGGAGAGGATTAGGAACATGCCTCTGGGTCTCTGCAAACCTGAACGGGTCTGTCTTCCACCCGCCCCGGCAGCCTCCGGCCAGGGCCCACCATTGCTTTAAATTAGCCATCTTGGGGGGGGGCACAGGGCACCCTGCCCACCATCTACCTGCCGTCCCTAATTCCTGCTCACGTCTGCTGACTCTGTCACGGGAGGAGCGTGACACAGTGGGGCACCCCTGGCAGCAGGCGCATCCAGAGCCTTTCTGGTTCCTAGGGAGAACTGATACAGAAGTTCTTCCCAGGCAGAAGTGAGGCAGTCCAGGCCCCTCCACATGGCCCTGATCTGGCCACTCTCCCTCTGTAGTTGTGACTGAAGGTCCAACACATGTGTTAATTGATGTGTTCTCTGTGTTTCAGGCTTTGGATGTGGACCGGATGGTTCTTTACAAAATGAAGAAATCCGTGAAGGCAATAAATATCTCCGGGCTGGGTGAGTATGCCTTCGTTCCTGGCCTCCGTGGGGGACGTGCTGTACTGATCACTGTTCACTGGGCGTGCAGAGCCCTAAGCTCTGTGTTGGGGTGTGTCCTGCCCAGCCCCTCTCCAGCCCGCCCACCTGTTCCTCCAGCCCTGCCCCAGCTCCTCCTGCACTTTCTGGTTTTCTGTGGCCACCATCACAAATGACCCCCAACATGATCCGTGACGCTCGCAGTTCTGGAGCCAGGTGTCCAAAATGGTCTCGCGGGGCTGAGCGCCAGGTTTGCAGAGCTCCTCTGGGAGGCTCTGGGGAGAGTTGCCTGGTCCTCCCAGCTTCCGGAGGACACCTGCATCCCCTGGCTGTGGCCATCTCCCCTCTTCAGAGCCAGCCGTGGCTGGCAGCGTCTGCCTCGCATGCCATGTTCCTCGGGCACTGGCTTAGTTTTCACAGGCTGCCCTGACAAAGCACCACAGACGTGCTTCCTCGCGGTCCCAGAAGCCGGAAGCCCAAGGCCAGGCCACCAGCGTGACTGGGCCCTGGTGATGGAAGGCGTCTCCCTGGCTCGCAGAAGGCCACCATCTGTCACTTATAAAGACGCTAATCTCAGCACAGGCCCCACCCATGTGGCCTAATGTTAACCTGATCCCCCTAAAGGCCGCCTCTCCAAAGGCCATCACAGGGTTAAGAGTTCCACGTGTGAATGGGTAAAGGTGGGGTGCCGTTCATTCCACACCAGACGCAGACTCTTCTGCCCCCCTCCCACATGTAAGGACCCTATGGGCCGCCCAGCTGATCCAGGATCTCTCCCCAATGCAGGTTTGCCCCATTAACAACCTCAGCCTCCATCTCTGGCTGGGTGGCATAACTTCTCCCCAGGATCCAGGAATTAGGAGGTGCCGACTTGGGGAGTGTCTTTGCCTACCACCTCCCCTCTGAGTTCTGAGGCTAAATAACTTCTGATTAATGAAATAAAGGAGAGAGCAGATCTACAATGCAGGCACAGTTCACGGTAAATGCTGCTTTATGTTTATTGCTCCCTAATAGTTTTATGTCTGTTGACCTTTGCGCCTCAAAGAGGTGGCAAGTGCAGTTCTTGGGGCAGAGTACAGCAGGGTAAGAGCACGCGGCCATAGAACCCAGGAGGCCTGGAGTGGAGCTCTGTGCCCCTTAGGTCTTTCTGAACCTCAGTTTAATCTTGGAGCATGTCAGCCACAGATTTGCTTCCGGGGCATCCTGAGAGTGGCTGGCACGGGGGCTGCTGGCACGTAGCGGGCATGCGGCAAATGTTTGTTTTGACAGTTCTGCTGGACGCTCTCAGGCTGCCCTTGCGGTGTGGGAGAGAGACTTGCCATCTCGGGCATGTGCTGTGTCGGTCTGCAGGCTCTCTGTTCTGTTAGTTGACGGTTTTTATCGGATTAAGTAGAAGAGGGATTTGAGATGCCTCGGAGCAGCCATCTTTATTTTTACAGCCTGGGAGCTCAGATGACCTTCACTGTCTCACCACTTACCTCCGCCATCACCTCAGTATTTTCTCTTGGCCTGCAAAGCCTTTCCTATTTATTCCCTGACTTTTTAGGGAAAAGTGTGCCAACCCTTGCTTTAGAGAAGTGGTCTGAAATGTCAGCGTGTCCCCAGGACCCCCTGGAGGGCTTGTTACTATGAAGATTTCCTCCCCCGCCAACACATACCCCGCCCCCCCCCAGTTCTGGTTCAGTATGTCCAGGATGGAGCCTGAAGAATTTGTAATCACATAAGTTCCCAGGTTGATGCTAAAGCTGGCAGGCTTGGAGAATGCTGTCTTTGATCTCGCCTCTCACCCCCACTTCAAAAACATTGTTCTGGACCAAAGGGGTATTGTTGTGACCCACATATATACAGAACAATAGTTTCATTACATAATGGCAAGTGTATTTTATTTGCTTCCAGTTTGCAAAAGGATGGTGAATAATCCAGTTGCATGTATTTTCTAGAACATTTTGTCTACAGGTTTGCAAAAGTAGTTATTATAATGACTTGTTGAGAAACTTTCTACAATCATTTTTTCCCACTCATCATAGATGATTATGTGATCTTAAAAAAAGAAAGAAAAAGCCCAGTTCGAGCACTGAAACTTGCACAGCTCGAAAATTTCCCAGGCTCTGCCTCAGGCCAGAGGTGTGTTTCCCTCCCCAGGAAGTTAAAGCTAACATTTTTCAGCTGTGTCTGACATAGCCGTGGGTGGAAAATTTCATCTTTATCGAGAAGTAAGCAACAAAAGACTTTCATTTTTCACTTCCCTCAAATTACTCAATCTAAAACACTCAGTGGAGCTCTTCTGGCCCCTCCACCTGAATGTCCTGGAGGAATCCACACATCTCTGAAAGAAAAAGGATGAACAAAGACATACTCATGTTCCCTCAACCCCTTCGCATCTTCCACCTGCAAAGAAAATGAGAACTCCGCTCTGCGTTGCTGTTACTTTTCATGCTAGTTAGAACGTGGCTGCAAAGTTACTGCAGAGCTTACAATTAACGCCAACAATTGCTTCCATGAAATACCTTGTATGATCAGGATCGCGCCATTCAGAAGGATCAGGCCGTAGTTTAGGGCGTGACCTGTAAGACATCTGGTGTGGCTTCCACCTATTACCCTGAAAATAACCTGCCAGCAAACCTGGGGAGAAGGCCCCTTTGTTGGAGGTTCTGGGAAGCACTGGGAGTGCATGGCAAGAGAAAGGAAAATCTTCACGTGGGAAGACACACAGAGTGCTGTGGCGTTGCCGTCCCAGTGCCAGGCCCCAGCCCCCAAAGCCAAAGGGGAGAGCCGTGGGCTGGAGCCGTGGCTGTGCGGCAGCCGGTGCGGTTCCTGGTGCAGACTCCAGTGTGGGCCACCCCTGTGATGACAGGAACAGAGGCATGTGGCAAGTGACCATGGCAAAGAGAAAGTGGCTCTGTATTGATGCCCATGGGCTTCAGAGCAGAGAAAGGAACCGCAGTGGTCCTCTGACACTGAGGGCGTCTTTGTCACAGGAGGCACTGGGCAGTGCTGTTCCCAGACGCCCCACCTCGCAAGACTCTGTGTGTCAGTCCCGGCCGTAGCCCAGTCACAGATGCCGTCTCTGAGACCCAGAGCAGGAACGTACCTGGGGGGTTCCAGAGCCAGAACTGGAGGAGCTGAGACTCAGAACCAGACCAGCTTCCCTGGGTCTGCTCTGCTCGTGGCGCCTCACTGCCTGGGTGTCGTCTGGGCCGGGCTGAGGGTGTGCAGGACAGAGACCACGCGGTCTCTGGGAATGCCACGGGGACATCCCAGCTGTCACCCAGCCGGGCACAGTGATCCAGCGAGAGCACCAGGTGGTTCTGCTGGACCCCCAGCTCAGTAGCAGCCAGTGTGTGACAGCCGTGCCCAGGTGAGCCCTCGGCGCCCGCGGGACGCGTGTCGTGTCTGTGAACGTGAACCCTAAGAGCAGTTTCTCAAGCGGAACGTCAGACTCTTGGAGCTGCATACTGCTGTGGGAGAGCTGGGCTCGGGGCGCACAGACACACTTGGGGCTTCCTTGGGAAGGGGAAGCAAGACTTGGCTGTTCCTCTCTCGAGGGTAGATTCATGGGAGCAGGTTTTGACCCGAGTGAGGGAGAAGTTAGCAGGGTGAGCAGCCCCAGTGAGACTTGGCCATTGGGGAGGAGGAGGGTCTGCCGGGGGCTAGTGGCCCTGGACTGGAGGGAGTTGCAGGGGAAGGACTGTACGTGACGCTAAGACCTTGCTGTGTCTCTTCAAGTAGAAGCTCTGGCAGTTGCTATTCTCTGGCTGAGAATAGAGGGGTTCAGAGGGGTGACTTGTGGGTTGCACTTGCTAGGAAACAAGGTGGTCCAGGCTAGGAGTTTTTTCCTACCTGGCATCTTGGTCTGTGGACAGGTGCAGGTGGTCTCTGCACCCCAAGAGATGGTATGGAACACTGTGCAAAGCTGGTTCTTCCTGGAGAGACAATCCCAAACCCTTTTGTGACTTCTAGTATATGTGCGGCCAAAGTGAGTGTGTTGTCCTGACTTTTGTTGGTATCTGTGAAAACCAGAAGACGGAAGGACCTATGTAGCCACAGCCTGCAGTTACAGTGGGGCGCCTCGGGTGCCCTGACCAGCTGTGACGCCCTACAGCGCCACTTAGCAGCTCTCTGGGCCCAACTCTGCATCTGGAAACCTTGCAGTGATAGAAAAGATGGAAGAGAGAGAGAGTGTGTGTGTATCCCATGAGTGGTAGCTATTGTGATCGGTGGCTTTGGCACCATGGACATTCTAGGGCTACATGTCCCTGAGGGGCGCTGGCCCCTGGGACTTATCGTAGGAGGCCTCTTTTCCTCCCGTCTGTGCTCTCTGCGGAGGTGGGGTGCAGGGCATCTGGGAGCGTCTGAAAGCACACTTGTGGTGGCAAAACACACATCCTGTAATGCAGCTCCTCAGATTGCTCTTCCAACTCAGGGCATCGAGGTAGCTGCACATACAAGTTGTGCTGTCCGGCCCTCCACACTTGCAGCTGCTCCAAGCACCACCTGGGGTTCTGGCCACAGGGGAGCCGGCCAGCTCCCGCGTGAGGCCTCTGTCTGCTGGCTTCAGTGCTGGTCTGGTCTGGCAAGCAGCTCCCCGGGGAAGCAGAGTCTGGGTGGCAGGCAGCAGGCCTTCACCTCACCTGCTGAGTGGGAAGCTCCTGTCGCTTCGCCACCTCTGAGAAGTCTTTCCTGTCACCAGCTCCAGGAAGTGACTTATCCTCACAGACAGTGTCGTCTCTCCCTCCGGGAACGTGGGTGTCACGTGTCGAGCCTCACAGCTGTGTGGTGGCAGGTGTGAAGCTTCATTCGTCCTTGGCCCTCCAAATCCTGCCCTCGTAAGTGCAGGTCCTGTCACGTCACCACGCTCCCTGGTGGCTCCTTCGTTCCTGGGGTGACGGTCTCCCCGGCCCTGCCTGCTCCCGGCCACCTGCCCCGGAGCCCCGTGTCCTCCATCTCGCCTCTGACCTTGCACCAGATGGCTGGCGTGAGTC